TTGCTCACAGCCACCCGCTTGGGATGGTAACGTAATCGTGTCCCCAAGTACCGTGCTAAGTTGCTCACAGCCACCCGCTTGGGATGGTAACGTAATCGTGTCCCCGAGTACCGTGCTAAGTTGCTCACAGCCACCCGCTTGGGATGGTAACGTAATCGTGTCCCCAAGTACCGTGCTAAGTTGCTCACAGCCACCCGCTTGGGATGGTAACGTAATCGTGTCCACAAGTACCGTGCTAAGTTGCTCACAGCCACCAGCTTGGGATGGTAACGTAATCGTGTCCCCAAGTACCGTGCTAAGTTGCCCACAGCCACCCGCTTGGGATGGTAACGTAATCGTGTCCCCAAGTACCGTGCTAAGTTGCCCACAGCCACCCGCTTGGGATGGTAACGTAATCGTGTCCCCAAGTACCGTGCTAAGTTGCTCACAGCCACCAGCTTGGGATGGTAACGTAATCGTGTCCCCAAGTACCGTGCTAAGTTGCCCACAGCCACCCGCTTGGGATGGTAACGTAATCGTGTCCCCAAGTACCGTGCTAAGTTGCCCACAGCCACCCGCTTGGGATGGTAACGTAATCGTGTCCCCAAGTACCGTGCTAAGTTGGTCACAGCCACCCGCTTGGGATGGTAACGTAATCGTGTCCCCAAGTACCGTGCTAAGTTGCTCACAGCCACCCGCTTGGGATGGTAACGTAATCGTGTCCCCAAGTACCGTGCTAAGTTGCTCACAGCCACTCAGCTTGGGATGGTAACGTAATCGTGTCCCCAAGTACCGTGCTAAGTTGCCCACAGCCACCAGTTTGGGATGGTAACGTAATCGTGTCCCCAAGTACCGTGCTAAGTTGCCCACAGCCACCAGCTTGGGATGGTAACGTAATCGTGTCCCCAAGTACCGTGCTAAGTTGGTCACAGCCACCCGCTTGGGATGGTAACGTAATCGTGTCCCCAAGTACCGTGCTAAGTTGCTCACAGCACCAGCTTGGGATAGGTTAATGAATCGTGTCCCCAAGTACCCGTGCTAGTTGGCCCACAGCCCCATCTTGGGAATGGTACCGTAAAATCGTGTCCCCAATGACCGTGTCTTTTGCCCACAGCCACCAGCTTGGGATGGTAACGTAATCGGTTCCCAAGTACCGTGCTAATTGCTCACAGGCCCCTCCGCTTGGGATGGTAACCGTAATCGTGTCCCCAGTAAACCGTCTAATTGCTCAAGCCACCACCGCTTGGGATGGTAACGTAATCGTGGTGTCCCCAAGGTACCGTGCTACGTTTGCTCAACATCCCCCTCTTGGGATGGTACGTAAATCGTGTCCCCAAGTACCGTGCTAAGTTGCTCACAGCCACCCGGTAACGTAATCGTGTCCCCAAGTACCGTGCTAAGTTGCTCACAGCCACCCGCTTGGGATGGTAACGTAATCGTGTCCCCAAGTACCGTGCTAAGTTGCTCACAGCCACCCGCTTGGGATGGTAACGTCATCGTGTCCCCAAGTACCGTGCTAAGTTGCTCACAGCCACCCGCTTGGGATGGTAACGTAATCGTGTCCCCAAGTACCGTGCTAAGTTGCTCACAGCCACCCGCTTGGGATGGTAACGTAATCGTGTCCACAAGTACCGTGCTAAGTTGCTCACAGCCACCAGCTTGGGATGGTAACGTAATCGTGTCCCCAAGTACCGTGCTAAGTTGCCCACAGCCACCAGCTTGGGATGGTAACGTAATCGTGTCCCCAAGTACCGTGCTAAGTTGCTCACAGCCACCAGCTTGGGATGGTAACGTAATCGTGTCCCCAAGTACCGTGCTAAGTTGCCCACAGCCACCAGCTTGGGATGGTAACGTAATCGTGTCCCCAAGTACCGTGCTAAGTTGCCCCCAGCCACCAGCTTGGGATGGTAACGTAATCGTGTCCCCAAGTACCGTGCTAAGTTGCTCACAGCCACCCGCTTGGGATGGTAACGTAATCGTGTCCCCAAGTACCGTGCTAAGTTGCTCACAGCCACTCAGCTTGGGATGGTAACGTAATCGTGTCCCCAAGTACCGTGCTAAGTTGCCCACAGCCACCAGTTTGGGATGGTAACGTAATCGTGTCCCCAAGTACCGTGCTAAGTTGCCCACAGCCACCAGCTTGGGATGGTAACGTAATCGTGTCCCCAAGTACCGTTGCTAAGTTGCTCACAGCCACCCGCCTCTTTCGTTTGGATGGCTACGTTTACACATCGTGTCTCCCAAGTACCGTGCTAAGTTTGCTCAAGCCACCCCGCTGGGATGGGGGTACCGTAATGTGTCCCCAAGTGACGTTGCGAAGTTGCTTCCCACACCCCGCCACCAGCTTGGGATGGTAACGTAATCGTGTCCCCAAGTACCGTGCTAAGTCGCTCACAGCCACCAGCTTGGGATGGTAACGTAATCGTGTCCCCAAGTACCGTGCTAAGTTGCTCACAGCCACCCGCTTGGGATGGTAACGTAATCGTGTCCCCAAGTACCGTGCTAAGTTGCTCACAGCCACCAGCTTGGGATGGTAACGTAATCGTGTCCCCAAGTACCGTGCTAAGTTGCCCACAGCCACCAGCTTGGGATGGTAACGTAATCGTGTCCCCAAGTACCGTGTTAAGTTGCTCACAGCCACCCGCTTGGGATGGTAACGTAATCGTGTCCCCAAGTACCGTGCTAAGTTGCTCACAGCCACCCGCTTGGGATGGTACAAGGATCGTGTCCCCAGTACCGTGACCTAAGTTGTTCAGCCACCCGCTTGGGATTGTAATGTAAACGTGTCCCCAAGTACCGTGCTAAGTTGCTCACAGCCACCCGCTTGGGATGGTACCGTAATCGTGTCCCCAAGTACCGTGCTAAGTTGCTCACAGCCACCCGCTTGGGATGGTAACGTAATCGTGTCCCCAAGTACCGTGCTAAAAGTTGCTCGCAGCCACCCGCTTGGGATGGTAACGTAATCGTGTCCCCAAGTACCGTGCTAAGTTGCTCACAGCCACCCGCTTGGGATGGTAACGTAATCGTGTCCCCAAGTACCGTGCTAAGTTGCTCACAGCCACTAGCTTGGGATGGTAACGTAATCGTGTCCCCAAGTACCGTGCTAAGTTGCCCACAGCCACCAGCTTGGGATGGTAACGTAATCGTGTCCCCAAGTACCGTGCTAAGTTGCCCACAGCCACCAGCTTGGGATGGTAACGTAATCGTGTCCCCAAGTACCGTGCTAAGTTTGCTCACAGCCACCCTCTTGGATGGGAACGTAATCGTGTCCCCAAGTACCGTGCTAAGTGCTCACGCACCAGCTTGGGATGGTAACGTAATCGTGTCCCAAGTACGTGCTAAGTTGCCTCACAGGCCACCCGCATTGGGGATTGTAACGTATCGTGTCCCCAAAGTACCGTGCTAAAAAAAGTTTTGCTCACAGCCACTAGCTTGGGATGGTACCGTAATCGTGTCCCCAAGTAACCGTGCTAAAGTTGCCCACAGCCCACCACTTGGGATTGTAAACGTAAAATCGTGTCCCCAAGTCCCAGGTGCTAAGTTGCTCACATCCACCCGCTTGGATGGTAACTTAATCGTGTCCCCCAAGTACCGTGCTAAGTTGCTCACAGCCACCACTGGGAATGGTAACGTAATCGTGTTCCCCAATAATACGTGCTAAGGTCGCCCAACAGCCACCAGCTTGGGATGGTAACGTAATCGTGTCCCCAAATACCGTTGCTAAGTTGCTCACAGCCACCAGCTTGGGATGGTAACGTAATCGTGTCCCCAAGTACCGTTGCTAAGTTGCTCACAGCCACCAGCTTGGGATGGTAACGTAATCGTGTCCCCAAGTACCGTTGCTAAGTTGCTCACAGCCACCAGCTTAGGGTGGTAACGCAATCGTGTCCCCAAGTACCGTTGCTAAGTTGCTCACAGCCACCAGCTTGGGATGGTAACGTAATCGTGTCCCCAAGTACCGTTGCTAAGTTGCTCACAGCCACCAGCTATTGGGATGGTAACGTACTCGTGTCCCCAAGTACCGTTGCTAAGTTGCTCACAGCCACCAGCTTGGGATGGTAACGTAATCGTGTCCCCAAGTACCGTTGCTAAGTTGCTCACAGCCACCAGCTTGGGATGGTAACGTAATCGTGTCCCCAAGTACCGTTGCTAAGTTTTGCTCACAGCCACCAGCTATTGGGATGGTAACGTAATCGTGTCCCCAAGTACCGTTGCTAAGTTGCTCACAGCCACCAGCTATTGGGATGGTAACGTAATCGTGTCCCCAAGTACCGTTGCTAAGTTGCTCACAGCCACCAGCTTGGGATGGTAACGTAATCGTGTCCCCAAGTACCGTCGCTAAGTTGCTCACAGCCACCAGCTTGGGATGGTAACGTAATCGTGTCC